CAGTCATTTGAATATTATGATAATAATTATAAAATTTAATTTTTCCAAAGTTAATTAATTGAGTTTGGAAAAATGAGTTTAAAAATTAATATGGGTTCTTTAAATATCATATGAGTGCAGTCCCTTGTAGTAAATTACATCGTAGGAAGCTTAAGTTTCCTGCGAACTCAAGATTAAAATAATGGTTAAAATTTTATTTAAAATTATTAAGGAGTGATATTAAAGAATTGATGCTGGAATTTTTATGGGGATTGTATTAAATTTTGAACATCTATTTTTAAAGGTCAAAGTATGAATGTTAGGAGGTGTATTGAGATTCTGAAACACTTTAGAAACAACTGGTCTACCCTATGTGTTGGGCTTTAACTTTTGATTGATGAGAGATTTTAGTTTGAGTTGATGACTTATAAGAAAGTGGGATTATACTCTTGAAGGTGGATAATTAAGATATAAAATTTGCCAGTTAACCTAAATCTAAAATTGGGTACTAGACAATAGTAGACCGATCTTATCTAATGCAGTGCAAATCTGGACTTACTCTGCCTTAGATTGGCGAGGCAGCTAATATCCTAGGTGATTAAAACCCATGATTCAAGACATTTATGTAAGAGTGGTAGACATTATTTTAATTAAGTTTGAGAAATCAGGGCTGACATTTTGAGCATATTTTAATTGGCCCCTTAATACATGTAGGGTGATTTAAAGCTTGAAATAAAATATAATTATAAATTTTCACTCCTTTTAGTTGGTTTCTGATGCAATGCATTATAATTGACTAATAAATGCATAAATTTGATATGAAATAGTTTTAAAAAGACTTAAAAATAGGTTTTTTCCTAGAGATTGCATAACATCCCCTTGACAGAACTGCACCATAATATGCCAAATAGTTTTCCAGAATCCACAGGTAGGGAGGTGCCTAATAAGGAAGATTAAGTAATAATATGATGCATGAAAAGCTCTTGGCAAACCCAAATTTACTTCTTAAGTCATTAGAGTTCCTATGTGAGCTTAAAATTTTTAATTTAATCAAAGTAATTTTAGCATACAAATTCAACCAATAATATTTGTCATCATTAAAAAGGGGGAGATTACTGTAACTCGGGCTTCTAAAGTTATAGTTTTGATGATAACAAATATTACCGATTGTATTTTTATGTCTCCTAGTGTTTTTACTTCATCTTTATTATTGTGTGTACTAACATTTTAGGTACATCATGCATTAGTTAAAGTAATTTTCTAAACTAATAGTATTTTATGATAGGTATCGTATTATACGATCAGCTACTAAAAAAAATTAAATTGGCTAATTGTGTTATTAAATTTATTTTAACTAATCATATTGGATGATCTTGATCGTACATGATGATCAATTAAATCATGAATTTTAGTTTCGAATTATTATTTCAGAAATATTTTGAAATATAAATTATGTGCTAATTATACTATATGATTCATATTGTACTATACAATGTAATTAAATCTTGCCTAAATTAATTTTATAAATAGGGATAAAATTTTGATTAATTACTTCAATAATCATATTGTATGATTGAACAAAATCATACTATATGATCAAATTCTTGCATGGGATGATATTTTTTCATTGTCAATCATACAGGATGATAATCCAATTAAATTATACTAACCATACTAGATAATGATCATATCATGCTAAACAAGTAGCTCAAATACTTGAACTGATCATATAATACTTTATAATTCCTACAATACTAACATGGATATTTTATATTAATCATATCGTGTGATCTATTATCATATTGTATGATCATGGTTGAAATAATTTAGTTTTAAATGTTTTTCACAGCCCTCTATTTAAGCTTTCTCATAAGACTTTGTAAGATTATGTTTGCCAATTTTTTAGTTATTTTTTTTAAAAGCTTTAAGAGAGAGCATAGAACTTAGGAGAGAAAGGGAGGAGTTTGGGAGAGAGGGAAAAGATCCTTGTGAGTTATGAGAGAGTGTGACATGGAGTTCCACATGATTGCTCTAACAAACATGCACCTGAGTTCCTCCATGTGTCAAGGTTTGTTCTTGAGGGAAGTTTTGGAAAGAAGATCTCTTTCGTCATAAACAACCCACCTACTCCACTGCACCAAGGAAGGAGAAAATGATTTCAAGGTAATCTGCCTTCTCAAGGAGGGAGAAAATATTGAAAGTTCACTGCCGTTACCAAGAGGGTGAAAAAGATTATGGTCCTCTACCGCACCAGGATTTTGGAAGAGATTTTGTATGGGAAATGATATAAATTAGGAATTATGGCCTTAAAAGTTGTGAGGAAGGTGTTAGAAGGAGTGGTAAAAATGATATAAATTAGGGATTTGAGTGGTATATGTGTAATATTAATGTATGAGGTGTTAGATATGTAAAATAATAAGTATATAGTGGTATGTATGTAAATTTCCCTAATAATAATAGCTTATGGTAATAGTGCTAATGATGATGCTAATGGCAATACTAGATATAGTTAACAACAAGATAAATCTAAGTGAGGGGGATAGGCTTACTGTGTTTGTGTTATTTATGAGTGTGAGATGATTGTTTTGGGAGATGGTGGGCTGGTAGTGTTTGAAGAATGGGCTTTTATGTGGGTGGGCAACTGCAAGTGTGCTTTTGAATTAAGGAAGACTCGGTGGGCTATTTTGGAAGCGGGCTTATTTTGGGCTAAGTGAGTGGGCTACTGAAGAGGTGTGAGGGTTTAATATGTAAGATATGGGTGAAGAAATGAAGTGGAACGGTTGGCTTAGAGATCGGGTATGGCTTCTGGTATGAGGAAGAGGCGGGATTGATTCCAACTTGCAGACAAATAGGGAAGGAAAATATTTGGCTTGTAGGATCGAGAGGTTGGAATCAAGTATTCGAAATGGTGTAGGGTTTGACGGTGAGTGAAGATGACGAGCTCGTCTTCAATCGACCCGGAATAGGACGGGTTGTATGCGAGAGGACTTCGAACGGGATGAGAGGGAGGCAAAGGTCAGATGGTTTGTATGTGACGGTCAAAGACAGATTGGGCTTCACGTGTCGTGTGAGTATCGACGGACTGGAAACAAGTAAATCTGCTTGCTTACAGGATTCTATATCATGGAGATGGGAGGAGGAAAACGAAATGACATGGGAGGAGGAAAATGAAATGAGAGCTTCATTCATTTCCCTCTTTAATGATGCAAACAAAACTGCGATGAAGAGTGGGATTTTGGCACATGCGCCAAATGTATAAGGCATGGGAACTATAGATTTGAGCTGAATTTTAGCAAGATTTGACTAGGTATATTTTATTCGATGATGATGATGATTTTTTTTTTTTTTTTTAGAGTTAAAGTCAAAAGGCATACTTGTTTTCGTCGGCATAACCCTTCTCCACAACCTCTACCTTCCCCGACAAGAATCTATTATCTTACCCATCATCTATTTTATCCAATTATATCTTACTCAAACAATATCAACATTTGTTTCAATCACCACTAAGTTTTATCTCAAAACCTTATACCATTCATCATCATATCCTTCTTTTGTCCTTATCTCAACTGGTAACATCCGCCTTTATTATTCTCCAAATTTTCAAAAGGATGCTATGGAACAATTAGTTTTTAAAATGCTTCACTCCGACATTACTTGAAAGGTTTTAATAATTGGACCAGACCGGCCGGTTCAACCGTGGATTGGCCACAGGGCCGGTCTAGTCCAGTCTGAAAATCACTTCTGCATCAAACCGAACTGAACAGCCAGTTCAAACGACGAATCGGCCCTAGTTCTTTTGAACCAGCCGGTTCAATTACAAAAATTTATAATTTATAAATAATTAAATAAATGTTTTTATTATATTAAAGATTAAATATTAAATAATTTAATTTATTTATATTTAAAACATTTAATTTAATTTAATTTATTATAAATATTTAACACAAATCATCATGAAGCATCTTCACATGGCCCCACCACTCCATATGAATTCTTAACACTAGAAAACTCAAAAAGCTAAATATATAATTTAAATTATATGGTTACATATAAATTAAATTTAAATTAAAAATCAAATTAAAAAGTTATATCTACCTAAAATAAACTAAGAGAGAGACTAGACTACTATTTTATTACGCATGTGGACCATTTTTCATTTATAAAATGCAATACGCTGATATCTAACAATGAGTAAGCTGCTTATTAGGCTCGCTATCTCTCTTATGATTATAAACAAAAGCTTGCTAACTATTCTTACCATCGAATTCATTTTTTATATGCTTCATATAGCTATTTAATCCTCATGAAATAGCATGAAAAAAAAAAAATCATCCGAATAAGAAACTACTAAAAGATCGGAGGACTAATTGATAACTACACCTAAGAATCCTAGAAAAAACTATCACACTAAACTTGCTACAAAAACAAATAGCCGCAAGGAACAAAGCATGCGAACAGTCCTAGATGAGAAAACATTTAACTCTTCTATAATTTCAAGAAGCAGCCACAAAAGAAGGGTAAACGGAAATAGAAACAGAACACCCAAAACAAACTCCACATACCTAAGAACCCACAAAAAAATTTATGATACAAAACCAAAAAATAAAAATAAAAATTCCAATTAATTAATTCAATTTCAAAATAATCATCATAACATAGACAGTTTGAGTTCCCAACAACTGTAGACTTTCTGAATCATAATAAAACACAAATTGTATGTTCAATATAACCATGCAATCAAATGTTTCCTCCTAACTATTTTTTGATCAAACCCAATCAACAAATAAATGAAATGCTTTAAATGCCATACCTGGTTAACGTTAAGACATGTAACTGATCATGTCAATCATGTAGGGATCAAGTCCATGCAATTAGAAGATACCGCTCAATCAATATATCTTCTGTTGGGCCACTGCATGTTTATACCGAGTGGGCATGGTTAAATAGATATGGCACTTAGGCGTTGCACAGCCCAGTTTTCACAGGTCATATAGTCAAATAGGCATGCAAGCCATTCGTGATGACTTCAAATTAAACGGCTCATTATTATGTTCAAAATCATGGGAGCAACTAATTGTAATTATAATAGGTTGAACCATCTAAATTTGACCCAGAGCAGACCCTCAAGTTGTCAAAGCACTCCAATTAAATTTAGTGGACGATCTACATAACTAAATGTGCTACAAAATCCTACCTCACTAAAATTGTGGTTACCTTTCTGTGTAACTATTAAGTACAAAATTAAATTCAGTAAGCAACTTCTACCGGTTGCTTCTAGTCTACACCACAAAACAAAAACTCCTCTAAAATTTTTGTTGCCTCTGAAACTTCATGATTAGCAGTTCCTCCAGTATGAGTAACAGGCGATCCCTTAGTGATATTATCTGAAACCTTGGAGGCAAAGCCAATTGAAGGAACATCACGAACTAATCCGGTGGAATTCATAGACATCTTGGAAGGTAAAGCACTGTGGTGACCATGCACCAACCAATTATCTTGCTTCTCGTGATTGTATGCTCCAGTGTGACAAAACTTGTTTACAGGAAAGCTTTCTTTAAGCTTATTAGAAAGTTCTGTCTGCACTGTCCCAAATGAAATGAAACGTATACCTTTTGGCACTTGATTAGTTTCTTTCAATGGCTTATGCCTTAATGGCAGTGTGTCTTTAGTTTTAACATCAAAAGAACCCTTGTCAAGTGGAGAAGCATGAATCCCAACAGGCTGGTTTCTTAACTTCAGCTGTTCTGAACATAAATGTAAATCTATTTTACTCACAGTTAACTGAGAAGAAGCATCGGTGGTTGGTATCTGAAATCAAGGACATATTGAGTTGGTCAAGAGATCAACTATAATATCTTTTGGAGCTATGAACCATGTGGTCCATAAACAATTACAAGATCATTAGAAATGACAGTTGCCATAGTTCATTAGATACCTTATGAGAAAACTTGCATCTATCTGCTCGGTTACAACAGCCCGTGGACATGTAGTTGTGGCATGGATACTTGGAAAGTTCATGATCAAATGGGCAGTCATCTCCTTTCAAGCAAGAATTACAAGCAAAGTGCTTGCAAGGCTGCAATTCAAAATATTTAAGAACGTACAAACACAAAATATCAAGCATATTAATTTGGTCAGTAAAAACAACACTATAAACTCAGTAGACAGAAACTTCTTCATTTAATTTTTTATCAGTGCAAAATTTAGTGGTTTTTGAGAAAGTGTCAAGAGGATGAGAAACTAGATATAAATACAATTTATGAGTGCCGTCTGTAGGTCATTGTCTTTCAGTATGCAACTTGGAATAGAGAAATTTTGATGCAAAAAGAACAAGGCTTTCCATGCTTTCAGAACAGCTTTGCCACCAAACTACGCAGACAGCAAAGCATTTCCAAGAGACAAATTACCATAACGCTAGCTGATTTGGAGTTGGTATTAAAAGCAATGAATGGGGTCATGCGAATGGACAAGTACGGCTAGTTTGAAAACCCAAACCAATGCCCCGTTAGGCAATGCTTTCTAATATCTACTTATGCATTGGACAAGGGCAGCAACTTCGTAACACTTGCTTATGCTTTTTAGACAAAAGAATCCGTTTTAAGGCATTTGGTGAAGGATGAGCAATTGCTACATGGAGAAGTTCACCTGTATGAAAGCTAATATAGGAGAGTTATCAAATCAAACATGCTTTCTTGGAAAATAATTTTATCAAAAACAATATTGAAATTTCCTCCCTAAACATAATATTACCAAAAAGATATTATTTTCCTTTCTCTATTGACACCTGAAAGGGCTTCCTATGTCGCACATCACATGCAATCTAAACATGTTCTCCTCAGGGCTATGATGCACCGACACTTCTCCTCAAAGAGGCGTGCAATGTCCGACACCGTATCCGATACGACACTCATCCGACACTCCTCCGACAAGTCGAAAACGTGTCCGATTAAAAAATATTAAATACAAATTGGACACACGTGTCCGACACACGTATCTTAAATATTTTATGAATTTTTTTTAAATATAATTTTTTGTATTTGGCGGGATTTAAACTAAATTTCTTATTTCTTATCCATAACATCAAATCAACATCCGCACTTAATACCCAATCATCGAATATTCTCATTTTCATTTCTTTTTGGCAGTAAAGGTATTTTTATGTCCTCTCTCAGTGACTGATAAACGGCATCGACGCTTGAGTTTCGACATTCTAATACTAATCATTTTAAGCACAAATTCTAGTAAAATGACTTATTATTTTCAAATTATTTTTAAAATTATACTTATTTAATTTTTATATGCTATTTTTTAAATATAAAAACTATAATACCGTGTCCAACCCATGTCCGTGTCCTATATTTTCAATAACTGACGTGTCCCGTATCCGTGTCGTGTCGTATCCGTGTCGCCGTGTCCGTGTCCGTGCATCATAGCCTCAGGGTAATATTTTAAAGGATGGCCTTCCTAAAGCTTCTTCCTCAATCAAAGAAGAGTCTATTATTCTACATAAATAATTCAATAACTAATTAATTATTATTGTAATTAACTTAATTCAAAAATGCAAAATTATTAATTATTAATCTTACATTAATTATGATAAACAATACATTTTTTTAAAACATGCAAAGGATGGCATTTATTAATTATAAATCATGTTTTGTTGATCATTTAATCAATTTACATTATTATCAAAGTGGCTTTCATATGTCATAGCACTTACAAAAGTAAATTTATGAGTAAGTTTATGAGTCATTTACTTTATTCGACTCACACAACAGCATGAGTGAACATTACAAATAGGGTTTAAGCCACCAAGAAAAATTCACTGCATGTCTAATTATATAAAACTCATTGAACTAACCGAATGGTTAAACTAATGAACCTAAAAATGTGACCAACTGGGAAACTATGGCAAACAGTTGGTCACTATAGCAAAACGGCTGGTTTATAGAAGATCAATAATTTTCCAAAATCCATAGGCCCTACTTCGGAATTAGAAAATTCAAATTAACAGCCAAAATTTAGAAAGAATGAGAAAGTAGGCCCAATTCTATCAATTTGGGGGTTGGTTTTATAGCCAGGGAAGAGCTGTCCCATGGAAAATAAACATATTCCCGTTTGTGGAATGCATTTATTTCGACCAGAACTCCTCTGTGCATAAAAAATTTTTAAGCTTCAGGCGTACTTCCTGCATCACCACTCAACTCCATCGCTTTTCTCAATCCATTAATGGGCAGAAAAGATTCAAAGAACTCGTTTCATCCACATGATTAGTGCCATACTCCTACATATGTTAAGGACAAAAGAGATCTCATACAAGATTTGTGCCACATGGCAATGCAATGTGTGTTTGCTCAAACCTATCTCATCATGATTACTCTCATACTGCCACTGATTTTTTTTTTTTTTTTTTTTTTTTTTTTTTTTGTCTTAATAGTATCCTCCATGGGTGCTCAATATCTAAGAATAAAAAAGAATAATTTTTGTGGCAATTTTATGTTCAATTATTAATTTTCAACAATGATCTAAAAATTTATACTAACTTACAGCTCATAAAAGCTGCTAATCTTTGAAATTTTTTTCGCTGTTAAAGCTACAAATTCTTTCACCTTATGTCAATCAACCTAACTTAAAGAGGGGAAGTAAGCCACAATGTAACTCTTAAGGGTGAATCCAAAAAGATTAGAATGTCATTTATAGAAAAGTGGTGAGATGGGGAGGGAAATTTGCCATAAAATGTCCAAGCGTGGAAGCTTGGATTATGGTCCCAATAATTAATTTATAGTTGAGCCATCAAGCACTCAAAGAAGAAGCCCACCAAGCCATACAATTAAACAAAGCCATCAAAAGCAATCCATTTTCATTCTTATTTCTTTCAAAAGGAGTATATGGGGGTTATTAGGGGGGGTCAACCAAAATAAAAAATATGTACTGAAATAACATTCCATTAAATTTTTCTTAGTTTTTTTATTGCTTGGGAACTTGCTTGGCTAAGCTTTTCATTGCATAACTTGCATTAGCCACTCCAAATGGTTAACTTCGCCTTAGCAGAAACACCACAGATGAAAATATAGATTATTGTCATCTTTAAATATTTTGTTAGGCTGGCCTAAGTGGGGCCGGCTGAACCGGACCCTAGTGGGCCGGTTTTTGTCTACAGGCAGAGGGCGGGCCCAAGGGGAGTGGAACCATAGAGAGAGGGAGGAGGCTAAGTAGATGGGGCCCACACAATAATTAAGAATTGTATTGGAGGGAAATTTCAAACTAGGGGCTGTTTAGGAATTTAACTTTTGTCCTTTTGCTTTAATTAGCTTGTCTTGCCAGGGCTAGGGTTATCTGGAATTGGAATCTGAATTTGGGATCTCTTATGTGGTGCTTGGGCTCTAGTCTTTGGCTAGAGATTTGGAAAGTTGGTTCTTCCTCTCGAATTGAAGATCCTTCTATCTTGTGCTTTTTTTTTTTTTCTTCTATTAGTGAATTTCAAGTATTTTTCATATAAATTTCCTGCAGTTTTTATAAAAATTTACTTTGGCTTAATTTCTCTGAAATTCAGGAAACTTCTGCATTATTGGTGGCTATTTTCTATTAAATTGGTATCAGAACATGTCGATCTAAGGGATATCAATGGCTGGAAGAAAGGTTGAAGTCTTGGAGGGAGAACTTGGGCAACTAAAATTAGATTTTGAGAAAAAGATTTCTAATTTTCAAAATCAGATCGCATCCGCTAATGAAAGTATGGAGGGAAAGTTCGCCTTGGTGAAAGATATGTTGAAGAAATTGCTAGAAGCCAAACCCAATCGGGCTACATCAGAAGAAAAGGAAACTACCAGCTACCATGGAAGAGGTGGGAACCCTAACACGTTTAGGGGAAGAGAAAATCCAAAAGTGGAGATCTTGGAAGGTGAAGACGAAATGTCTCATATAAAACCACTTTTTAGGGAGGAGATTAGCATTGGCTACGAAAGAATGAGTGCTAATTTTGTGAGGAGAGGGGATGATTTCGATCGTTGTGGTGCTGATGTTGATGAAGGTTTTGGGTATGATCGCTAAAGGGAGGATCGTGACAACAGAGGGGCACCTCCTCTTGAGGAATGGGAGGCTATGGAGGATTCAGGGGAAATAGGTCTGACCCGAAAGTGAGGAAGCTGAAGATGCCCATCTTTGACGGCGAGGACGCACATGGCTAGATCTATAAGGTGAAACGATACTTTGTGGTCAACGGGTTGATAAAGGAGGAGAAATTGACAGTAGCAGGATTTTGCTTAAAAGTAAAGGCATTGGCATGGTACCAATGATGGGACATAAGGCGACCTATTCAGAGCTGGAGGGAGTTCAAGGACTGTTTACTAGAACGTTTCCGAACCAGTAGAGGAGGAGAATTCTATGAGCAATTTTTCGCTGCGTCGCCCTGACGCAGGAGGGGACCGTGACAGAGTATCGTGATAGGATCGAGTACCTTGCTAGTAGGCTAGATCGACTCTTAGAGACAGTTCTAGAAGGAAATTTTATGAAGGAGCTTAAACCGAAGACCTGAGCAGCAGTTAGAGTGATGAGGCCACGAGACTTGGGGGAAGCCATGGAGCTAGCACAGTTGGAGGACCAAAAGTATCTAGAGAGGGGGGCAAGGTGGAGCAACACAAGGAGGACATATAGGATGACAACCAGCTTCTTAGCTCCCAAGGGGATTGCATAGGGAGTTTGAGAGAAGTACCAAGGGAGAAAGCTGGAGGAGGAAGTAATTTCAAGAAGCTTACTGAGAAGGAGATACAGGAGAAGAGGGTTAGGGGGTTGTGGTTCAGATGTCATGAGAAGTACATGCTAAGGCATAGGTGTAATGACCGAACTCTTCATGTTCTCACCATCTGTGATGACAAGGAAATTGAATAGGGAGGTGATAACGGGTTAGTGGTGGAGGAAGAGAAGTTGCATCTAGAAGTTGCACAAGTTTCTAAACTTTGAGATGGGATTCACCCTGAATCACACCATGAAATTGAAGGGAGAAATTGCTGATGGAGAGGTAGTGGTGATGATAGACAGTGAGGCAACTTACAATTTCATCTCCAATCAAATTGTCGA